TTTGAGGGCAGCCTAGGATATAAGCTCCACTTGAAAAAGAATGAAATACATTTAGAAAGTTATTCAGATTATTCTGTAGTCCACATCTTTTAAAAAATAACTAATGAGCTTGAAGCACCTCGGTGTATCTAATCAGCAACACATCAACCCACATCCTCATCTACCTCCATGCTTACTTGTGGCTGTTGGTGAACAGCCAAAATAGTTTCAGGAAATAGAAACTTCTAGACAGTTATAACTTCCATTGAACTGATTTTTTTTTCCTACCTAAAGTTACTTTTTAAAAACTGTGTGTAATGGATAAAGATAAGAGTCCATTGATAAAAAACAAAAACTTACACGTGAGAACAGAAGCACTGTACAGCTGTACAGCTCACCGCCAAGGGTTTCAATCACCCTGGCCGGCAGGTGAGGTGGCGCTCACCTGTATCCCAGCCCTATGAAACAGAGGCAGGTAGACCTCTGTGCATTTGAGGCCCGTGATCTACAGAGCTAATCCAGGACAGCCAAAGCTACACAGAAAAACCCTGTCTCAAAAAAACAAACAAACAAACCTTAAAAAAAAATATTTAGTGGGGGAGTAGTGTCACATGCCTTTAATCGCACACTTGGGAGGCAGAGGAAGGCAGATCTCAAGTTTGAGGCCAGCCTGGTCTACAAATCAAGTCCAGTACAGTCAAAACCACATAGAGAAAACCTGTCTATAGATAGATAGAGAGATAGAGAGATAGAGAGATAGAGAGATAGAGAGATAGAGAGATAGAGAGATAGAGAGATAGATAGATAGATAGATAGATAGATAGATAGATAGATAGATAGATAGATAAATAGATAGATACATAGATACATAGATAGATAGATACATAGATAGATACATAGATAGATACATAGATACATAGATAGATCACACTGGCCAAGTAACTGTTACCTGAATTGTAGGGTGGAGGTTAGATGTTTTTCTTACTTTGAATACAATTCAGGTTGTACCAGGGTGGGTGGGTGGAGCACCAAGAGCAATTCACATGTGTGAAGAGTCTACTACTTAATTAGAACTCTTGTTATGTATCATACCAGTTTTTCTAAAGATTAATAATGCCATATTACTTTCTACACTATGATTACCTACCCAAATCCCTCTTATCTTTTGATCCATATTTTGATTGCTCAACTGCAGTACATCTTGCTCTGGTGGACATATACTGGTTTTGTCCTGTTTTAAAAAAGTTTAAAACAATTTAATAGTAGTAGTTTAACAATATTATTATTAAATTTCATACTGGGCAAAACCCTTTGCACAGTCATGGCTAAGACAGTGTGTGCCAAGACTCAAAAATATCATAGTTTCTCTTTTGACTCTTAAGTACAATTATGATAGCCAATACCATGCATTGTGATCTAATCCAGTTTAGTTGTCCAGCTGTAAGGGGCGGATGTGTGTGCAGAAGGCCAGAGGTGCATGTCAGGTATCCTAACCAATTATGTCACACAGTATTCCCTGAGACAGGGTTTATCATTAAACTCAGATCTAGGAAGGAAGCCAGGAAGGACTGGTGAACTCTTGCTCTGCCCCCAAGCAGCACTGGAATTACACAGCAGCTCTTTGTGTGGATTTGAGGAATTCAAACTCAGGCCCCCCATATTTGTGTAACATGTTTGGCACAATACTATACTAATTCGGCTATTGCTATAAAGATCTCATATAATTTCATTCCTAATGTAAGCTAGGAGCAGAAGGCATCCCTTTGAAAATTTGCTACCTAACATGGGTCATGATTATACAAGTTATGGGAAGGTCTAGAATTTTTGCTAATTATATTGCAAATAGTTTAAGACTTTTCCCAGAATACAACATAGTATTAAATTACAACAACAACAAAAAAAATGTTACCAAAGGGCATCCAGCACAGTAACTCTGAAGTCCAGAGTACAAGTTTCCTTGAATTTGTAACCTTTTCTCTCAAAAATAAAACTAGAAATATGAGATGGTTCTACTACTAAAAGTATTGAAAGGTAATTAATTCTTCAGTATTACAGGAAAAGGCCCAGATATAAATGTTTTTCAAATCAAGTGACATAACTTCTAATTGCCTTTGAGTGTCAGGTGACACATAATTAAAAATGTAGTACTAACCCCAACTAGGACGTTTAGAAACTATTTTGGTTTGTCTTTCTCTAAAAGGGGCACTCAGGTGCAAATAGCTCTATGCCAACTTACAGCAAGGCAGTAGCATATGTATCTAGCATATGAGTTTTTCAGGACGGAGTAAAGATTTTTGCTAGCACTGAAGCCAGCAGGTGAGAGGCTGGAATGTGCCTTTTATCTTTTGATCCATATTTTGACAGTTCAACTGCAGTTTGTTTGCTTTTTCAACCTCAAGCTGAGAAGAAAAAAGAAAGTAATGATTTATTGAAAATAAAATTTTGCCATTTGAAACAAACTAAAGTAGAGTTTCAAATACCAACGTACTGCTAATAAAATTGGGAAAGTGCTGAAAAGTGAAACACTTCCATCTACATGAATCCCGTGAGAAACTCCCCCCTCTGAGAATTCTACTGCTACTCCTTCTACACTCAGTTTTGTGAGCAAGTCTTCACTTATTGTTCATTTGTAACAATCTCCAATCTTGCACCTTTTCTTCTGTGCACAAGATTATACTCCATAAAAAAACTGAAAACACACACACACAAAACATTCATTTCTTAACAATAACTGAAGTCAGAATTAATCCACTGGATTTGTATCTCTTTACTTATTCAGTTCACAAACTCAATAAGTTTATTGAATCTAGACTATTTCCGAACAGGTATGCTTCTAATAACTTTATAAAACAGAAGGCAAATATTGCTACTAAAAGTACTGTTATTAAAGTATAACTAACAGCGACATTATGCAAGCACCCCGTTAAGTTCCAACAGGTCTGTGTCTCAAAGATCACTAGTCAGTGTAATGGACACATTGCGCTGTGAGCCTCCAGCTTAACCCAGTGCATTTTAAAATGAAAACCACAGTACAAACAAGGCACCCACAATGACATCAGCTGAGGTACAAGCAGAACTTTAATTATCTACCTTTTACTCCAAAGGAAAAAAATAGTTATGTATGTTTTTCTAGAGCTATAAATACACAGGGGTGGGGGGCAAGGTTTAGTTATCACAAGACATCTGCCTTCTGAATGTGAGCTGTGCTCTCTCTGAGAACCTATTCCAGTTTCCACTAGTGTTCCGTAGCATTTTCACTGATCCTTACCAAAGTCTTGAACAGGCTATCACGTGGATTAAGTAGTATTTTGTCCTTTCGTACAACCAATCAGCCTTCCATTATGACAGTTTCACAATCCTATTTTTTTTCCTTTGTACCACAAAGGAAGATCAATCTTTTGTTAATGACAGTACTTTTGTCATTAACAGCAAGAGCTGGCAAGCATGCTTCTAAAATCTTACCTCTCTAACTAGAGCACAAAATGAGGCTATTTGCCAGTTTGCATCTTTTCAATTATTGGCTTCAGTCAAAACTACACATTTTTTTTTGTTTTCTTTTTCTTTAAAAAGAAAAAAAAAAACTATGTAATTAGTTCCTTTCTCTACCACAGAACTGGATATTATTTTTGAACACACACTCTTCCTATACTTAGAAACCGTTCCCTTTCTCCCAGCTTCTTCAACACCAACCAGTTTCTCAACTTCATTCCTTTTCATTAGTCATGAAGCAGAGTTTTCTATGCAAAATTTAGGAGCATCAATATTCAACCAAATGATTTCCAAATGACAATGCTTAGAAGCACAGCTTAGATACTGAAAAACACTTGTTCCAAGAAAGAGGACAGGGAAAATGTTCTCCAGCAAGCAGCTGCTGAGCTAACCCCTGAGATCAAAATAACTTAGACTAGCAAGGGAAAGGTTAGAGATACTTTCTGACCCAAAGAACAGCAGGGGCAAACACTGAGAGAGTAAGTAGCACTGGGTGTTGTGAACTCAACTCATTCTGTATTATTGTCAGAGTGTCCAGTTAGGGAGAAAGCAGGAGAAACTGAGCTACAGATAACTTTGGAGCAAAGCCTCAGCTTATCCTGAACTTGACATAAGCAAGAGGTTCTGCCTTATGCAAGCAGCTCTTCTCACATCACATCGCCTATTAGCTGCATGCAAGCGAACCCGGGCTCTCCCTGCTTCTTTCCTGAAGTTCACAGCCTCAGAATGAAACTAGAAATACTCCTTAAACACCTTAGAGATCTCGCATCTCAAATCTCTAACACATAAAAATAAATGCTTATGTTTTATATGTACTAGTTTTGTATTTTGGCGTGCCTAAGACTAAAACTATGGCCAAGCATATGCCTTACTCTAACAGTACCTCTTGTATCGCACTTAATGAAGCATGGTAAGACATTGGAGATATCAGTATATACTGAAAAACTCTGAGTGCCACCTGAGAATACTCACATGGTGAGGATAAGCCAGGGCCATGAGCAAAGTATCTCATATACCTTCATTTTAAGTGTGCAAGTGAGAGTCTAAGTCTCCCACGAATTGGCACTTAACGTACACGAGAGTGTATGATTCCTCCCAGCATCTCTCTCATGTTGTTATTGTGCCTTTTCTTTTTGAGGAAAAAAAAGGATTTTGATCATATGGTAATAAGCTTCTGGAATATTTTCAATGTGGAGTGAGGGAGAAAAGTTTTATAATATACTAAACTTATAAACTTATACCCTCAAAACAATATTCAGCTTCTACTGAAAGTTGAAATACATAAGATGCTACACTTTTTGTATGATTCACACAGTTGTTTTATATTTCAAAGACATCTACTCTATATGAGATACTCGCAAAAGCATATATATAACTTAAATAAAATTGCTTGCCTACAAAAAAGTATGTGGCTAATAAAATGTATATTCATTAATTTTTTTGTTTTTCCTTCACCTACACTTAATGAGCAAAATTAATACATTATCAAAAAATTAATTCATGTCTATAAAACATTAAGAAGAAAAACTTACTTGCGTCTGCTTGGCTTCCCACACTGATGTACCTGTCGTTGCCTGGGCGTGCGGTCTGGTAGTAGGTACTCTCCTCCGGCGGGGGGGTCTTGGCATTCTTCGCAGTGAGAAAGGCTACTGCTAACTCCAAGTTTCCATTACTAGCCTTCAGGCATAAAGAAAGAGGATTTTAGATTTTTAGAGGATTGGTATGCAATCACACAAAATGTATGTAATTTTATCCATAATATTTCATAGCAAAAAACATTTTGATTTGAAATTATTTTAATGCAACTCTAACTGAATCAGTGAAATTTCACTACCCATAAACTCTAATTCATTTCAAAAAATTATATTCATTATTTGATATTTATTATTAAAACTTCTATTACAATGCTAAAATCAATTCTGTATTTTCTTACTTTTCTATTATTTCTTATTCTTTTAAAAAAATCTAGTCATACTAATTTTAAACAAATGAATACTCTAGATTTATCCTCCCCTCTGAGTTTTGCCATAAGAGTACAAAGTAAATATTTAAAACATAGCCCCTCTAACATGGTTACTGGAGGCACACCTCAGAACAAAATGTCAAGAATTCTTAAGACATCAGAGGTATTAGGTTTGATAACATGGAGAGGCATAAGAACTGATAGGCAAAAATACTGTTGCTCTCAAGATAACAACTCTGCACACACACACACACACACACACATACACACACACACACCAGTGCTCATCAAAAGCACAGCTAACCAAAATAAGCCAAAGTTTGTTTAGAAGTAATGAAAGGCAAAAAAAGCAATGAGAGGAGGATTGCTCAGTTTTATATTTAGATTCTCTGAGAGGCTAATGATAAGTAAAATGGAATACCAGCTTAGGACAGGTATGTGAGACAGCACAATAAACTCAGATATTAATCAAGTCATCTCTGTACAGAACCAGAACGTAGCGGGCCTGACAGTTTAAGTAGAAAGCTAGCAGAACATCATATGATGTTGACTTTAAAAACCTTGTGCTGGCTATGCATTAAAAGAAAAACTACAGAAGCAGAGTATGCTATCCTGTTAAACTAAGGGTAAGATATGATACAGGGATCAAGATAATTGCAAAATTATCAACAACCAAAAGAATGATCTCAGTTTAGCAGGGAGCTATGGAGAGGGTGGCTGTAGAGGCAATAACCCTGCTTCAAGGTGTACTTCTTTATGTCCATTAAGGAGACTCTTAAGTGACTCATCCAAGATACAGGTTTACAACCAGCCACTGTCAGATAAGTATGTTACTCATAAAAATGAGCTGAGTAATGACAGCTACCACTGATGAAGCATTTACTATGTGTCAAGAAGTGTGCTAAGTGTTTTGAATGCCCTGTTTCATACAAGGAAAACCTCAACAGCAAGAATTTCACAACTTGGTGGCTACTTAGATTGCATGGAGAAGTATAGATGCTTGTTGTGGTTTAATATAAAATGGCCTTCACAGATTCTTGTGCTTGAATAAAAGTCACAGCTGACGGCAACATTTGAGGAAGCTGTGTGACTTTCTAAGGAGTACAGCTAAGTGAACTAAGGGACATCTGGACAGTGAAGGACACATAACTCAGACCCACTGTTCCCAAGTCTGATTCCCATCTGCTAAGATGTCAGGATGCACCCTGAATCTCCTGCCTCCGTGACATCACCACCATGAGACAGTCCTCTTGAACCATGAGCCAAAACAAATCCTTCCTCCTCTAAGTGGCTTTTTGAAACTTGTGTGTGTGTGTGTGTGTGTGTGTGTATGGTCATGTGATGTGTGTTTATACATACAGGAGTGCAGTGTCTTGCAGAGGCCAGAAGAGGTGAATCTGTGCCAGAAGAGCTGAAGTTACAAATGGTTACAAGCCAAGCGATGCAAGTGTTTTGAACCAAAATCAGGCCCTCTATAAGAAGAGTCAGTGCCCTAACCACAGGGCTGCCTCCCCCACCCTCCTAAATTGCTTTTGTCAGGTATTCAGCCACAGGGTTAAGAAAGCAACTAACTGCATTTTCAAGTTAAGACAATGATGTCAGTAATTGTGGTTCCCAAGCACAGGACTTCTTGGCCTCACGCCAAAGGAATATGGACAAGACTTAATTTGATCCCTATTTCTCAAATTTATAAAAGGGAGGGAATTTCCTGCAAATTTTCAATGGCAAAGTGACAGGATAGAGCTTCATCCTCTGTGATCTCCTGGCAAAGGCATTTTCTTAAAATAGACTTGGAATGAGTTACTCATCTATTTATCAGAATGGAAGAAAAACTGGCAATCATCTAAACGTCAAGCTCCTGAGAACTGAAGCACTGTTTTCTCTAATGACGACATGTGCAGCTCTGGACTAACAGTTCAACAACACTGTTCCATCAGTTTCCTTCTGTCAGACAGGAGGAAGCAAAGCTTCCAGCAAAGCAGCAGACTCAGCCTAATTCCAGCACCTGCTGCTGGCTGCTAAGCTTCCATTCCAGTTCCTCCACACACCATGTGTGTGACCTGGGGTGGGTCACTTAACATCTCGGTTTCCTCATCTTCACACTGGGGAATGGAAGTATTTATCTCTTGCAATTATAAGAATTAAATAACTCAACTGAAGAACGGAAACAGGAATTGTGGTACATGTATACAATGGAATAATACACAGCAATTAAAAACAAGGAAATCATGAAACTTGCAAGCAAATGGTGGGTACTAGAAAAGATCATCCTGTGTGAGGTATCCCAGAAGCAGAAAGACACACATGGCATATACTCACTTACAAGTGGATACTAGACATATAATATAGGATAAGCATTCTAAAATCTTTAGTCCTAAAGAAGCTAAGCAAGAAGGAGAACCCTAGGTAAGATGCTCAATCCTCATTCAGAAAAGCAAAAGGTATGGAGAAAACAGGGAACAGGACAGGAGCCTACCACACAGGGCCTCTGCAAGACTCCCCCCAGCAGAGTATAGAAGCAGATGCTGAGACTCATAGCCAAACTTTGGGCAGAGAGTGCAGGGAATCTTATGAAAGGAGGAGGAGGTAGAAAGACCTGGAGGGGACAGGAGCTCCACAAGGAGAGCAAAAGAACCAAAAACTCAGCACAGGGGTCTTTTCTGAGACTGATACTCCAACCATGGACCATGCATGGAGATAACCTAGAACCCCTACACAGATGTAGACCATGACAGCTCTCTCCAAATGAGTACCCTAGTAATAGGAACAGGGACTGTCTCTGACATGAACTGATTGGCTGGCTCTTTGATCACCATCCTCTGATTGGGGAGCAGCCTTACCAGGCCACAGAGGAAGACAATGCAGCCAGTCCTGATGAGACTGGTTAGACTAGGGTCAGATGGAAGGGGAGGAGGACCACCCCCATCAATGGACTTGGGGAGGGGCATGAGAAGAGATGAGGGAGGGAGGGGATTAGGACGAAACTATGGAGGGGGCTACAGCTGGGATACAAAGTGAATAAACAGTAATTAATAAAGACATAAAGGAAACAGGAATAAATTAACTAACCCACATAAGGAACTAAAAGATGCCTGATTCAAAGTGCCTGTTAGTCAGTAAACAGTGGTTATCACTATCACCGATGACATATGCTACAATCATCAAAAATGAATGAATTAAGAAATAAATAATCCATCCATCAATCAATCGATCAGTCAATCTCTGGAAATTAAAGAACTTCTGGCTCAGAATCAGGGACCATTTTAACTTTTTCCATGGTTAAGTTACAAAGTCTCACAGGCTATGTGTGTGCCTACAGAGATAAATAATGTTACATACAAATACAGGTCTATTTTAAGCATATACATCATTCGCTTAATCATTCTCAGTGTGAACTACCCATGAACTTTGACTCATCTCAGCACCTCTGTAGGGAAATGAGGGTGTATCTAGGATGAAACCAAAATGACACACTGGCTTTGTTGCACATGTTACTGAAATTTGAGGTTGAATATCCTTAAGGAATGATTACCTGGATGAAGCTATCATGATTAACATGATAACTGAAAGTAATGTGTATTTCTTGTTCTCAGAAGGAAAAAGATGAAAGCTTTGGACTCTCTTGATTCTCTACTTTGTGTTCCTCCTTCAGGTCTTATTCTAATCCACGCACTGAACCCATTCATATACTAAAACATGGTCAAATAACATTATTCATTAACACTGGGATTATTCCCTACTTCATGCAAGAAAAGTATCTGATATAGAGGGGTTATATCAGATAAGATGGTATGAAATTTACATGTTTAGAATTGCAGCACATGAAATAAGGTTCTCACTTTATGCAAATTTTCTTCCTTCTGTCTCTAATAATATCATGTGGTTTAACTAAGAGACTTGGCTTTCAAATATGGTACACAACAGAGACAAAAATACAACACAAATTTAAGCTAAAACCAAAGGCCATACCTTCAGGGCTTGTTGCAGTATTTGGGTATCATTAATCCCAGTGATTTCTCTCAGCTGATTCAAAAATGTCTGCTGGTGCTGGAGGGGAAAAAATCAGAATTATTACAGTAGGAACAATGGAAATATTTTTTACAAATATTTTATTTTAAAGAGAAAAAAAAGAGGAGAGAAAGTGTAGAGGCTGAAAGATACAAAATAAATATGCCACTCTTTTGGAACACAGAAAGACACCCACCACACATCAGATAACCTCAGTCTTTTTTTTTTTTTAAGACAGGTATCTTCACTGTGTAGCCTTGGCTTACTTGGACCTACGTGAGACCAGGCTGGCCTTGAATTTACAGGTATCTACCTGTCTCTGCCTCTCCAGTGCTGGGAATAAAGTGAGTGCCTCCACACCTGTACTCTCCTATTCCTAAACCTCGGCTTCTACATTGTCTCCCAGGCAGCCTTATCAAGGTAACAGTTTTCATCCCATCTCCATCCCCTCACAAGATGTCTTGGCAGTAAATAGAAAGTGTTTGTGGTTAAAGCCCTGGAATAATTTCAGATATGTTTAGGAGATGTGTATTTCACAGGCTATATAGTAAACCAGTAAATACATCTAAGGGTCCAAGGATCCAGCCAATGAAAAGAAAATCATCTGATTCACCAATCTGTCATAAAAGATCCTCAGTTAAACTGGTTTGCTCCATTTCCTTCCCTTCTCTCCACAGTCTCCTAGTCTGTGGAATCTTCTAACTTAAACAGCACACCAGGACTCTACTAACAAAGCTTTCAGTGATCTATGAACAATCCCACTACATTTTGTTTTTGTTTTTGTTTTTTTCTTAAAACATGGTTCCCTCAAACTGTAGAACAGCACTAAGAAACAAAGTACAGAAAATATAAGATTGGAAACAAGCTTAACCCTGAGAATAATGTAGGCCTCCTGGATTATTACTTCAAAATGGTTTATACTTTACTTAGTACCAGTTCAGACGGGAACCTTTGAGGATGCTTAACCTACTGGGTGAAGTTTGCTGAGAAAAGGAGTACTTAAAAAGTTTCAAACTACAAAGTATAAAGAGAAAAAGTAACTTTGTGAAGGGAAACAGCCTTCATATTGACCAAGAAGTCAAAGTCAATATTACTGGAAACAAAACAAAATGACAGTTTGCACCTCCTGACACAGTTGCAACACAACTACAAACCCTAAACCTCACCTTGAAGAATGACCAAACAATCTCAAACAAGGAATACAGAGCAAATGAATTGTTCCACTAGCTGGTAAAATGTCTATACCATCTGATGTGGTGGCACGCCTTGGATCCCAGCTCTTGGGAAGCAGAGGCAGGCAGGTCTCTGAGGTTGAGGCCAGCATCATCTACAGAGGGAGTTCCAGGACAGCCAGGAGTACAAAGAGAAACCTGTCTTGAAAATGAAAGAAAAGAAAGAAGGAAGAAGGAAGGAAGGAAGGAAGGAAGGAAGGAAGGAAGGAAAAAAGGAAGGAAGGAAGGAAGGAAGGAAGGAAGGAAGGAAGGAAGGAAGGAAGGAAGGAAGGAGAGGGAAAGAAACTAAGAAAGAGAAAGAAAAAGATGTCTAGAGCACCAAAGACAAAAGAGGGGGTCTCTGCCAGAAGGGAAGCCCAGAGGTCTAAGCACACTGGCGGGAGAGAGGCTGGCTCTACTGCATGTCTTGCAGCACGTCAGTGGAGGTACCTGTAGAAGCAATCAGTGGACGGCACTTTATTAGTGTCACGTTCCTGAATGCATTATATCTTTTTCCTTTAGAAAATGCACCGGAAATGTGCCAGAGTATAAGATCTCCATAACAATGCTTAAGTTTAAAAAATAACCATGGAAGTTCTTTCCATGAGTGTCCCCACATCCAACATCCCATAAAAGTTCTAGAAAATCCAGCCAAGGGCAAAGGGATCTGCCTTCTTTAAAAACTCCTTTAAATGACTTCTTCCACTTAAGGTCTCACTGTGTAGAATAAGGTTTCAAGCCACTCACAGAAAATAATTTTCTGGTAAGCAAAGCCACTTTAAATGTGAAATCAGAGATGTAGTAACTGTTTTAAAGAAAAGAGAAGAAGCAACAAAGTGAAGCAGCATTAGACCAGACACTGGTTAGGCAATGGCAGGTCCCCCATGTCATCTAAGAACTACATTTCCATAAAGTCTCATTAAGGAACTAAGATGATAAGACTAATAATACAGTAAGTGTTGAAATACAAAAGAACTGTATGCAAAGGGCCAAGAAATACCCAACAGCTCAATGAAAGAATCAAACCCACAATTTACAGGTTGAAATAAGAAAACATACTCTCTTTAAGTCTATCAACTCTGCTATTGATTTGATTTGAGAAAAACAGCAATGAAACTGACAGTGGAATCAATAGTCAAGACTAGAAATTAAGGATATATAAAAATATCACAAGGAAATTTGTATGAAATGTAGCGCTAGATTAGTGCACAAAGCCTGCTAAGAAAACGCCACAAGCCTAATCTCAACATCCTGCACCTGCAACCTCAGCTCTTTCTTTACATTATTTTTCTCAATGGCAAATTATTCAATCACGCATCCCAGAAAAACTACTGACTATCCCAAGGAAATTAGGTATTTGTTAAAAATGTTCATGGCTATTCTTCACAATCTTGAAATAAGAAAAAGAAGCCAAATATCCTGGAACCGAGAAGACATTGTCAAACATGAATGTTAACAAGATGACCTAATGTCCATTGAGCAACAACATGAAGCCCAACATCCTGCCAAACACTGGTTCCAAGAGCAGTGAGCCTCTAATGATTTTATGCAAATAAAGCTAGAAGCAGGGTGAATAAGGCAAACAACCTTTTATTGGAATAACGAATGCATGGCTATAAAATAACTATGCTAGAATGGGAGCAGACCAAATAATACATAAATACATTAATGCTATTCTTTACTTCCTGTCTCTAAATACATTGTTCCCTGTGGCCTGGAAGATAGACACTCATCAATGGCACAATCGAAGATAGGATGCAAGCAGAAATGGGATGTATTTGCATGATTGGAACTGCCTTATAGTTCCACGGATTCCTTACTAGAGGACTCTGTCAGCCCAGTTACCCACCTCCTTCCCCCTCCCCCCAAAAATGAGGTGGATGTGGAAAAGAGCAACTCAGTCTGGTACATCAGTAAATCTGATGACAATATCTTCATAAGCAACCAAATACTAAGGTGAGATTTTTAGTAGGTGGCCCATACAGAGTTCACTAAGAAATACAGAGAAATGCGTGGAGAGAAGCAAAGCCTTTGGAATTTTGCTATATATGTTTAATTTTTTTTTTATAAGCAGTCAGTCTGGTACATTACCAAAAATAAAGCCCTATTGTACCATGATTTATGTTTTCACAAATTTGGACTGAAAATGAACAAAAGAGAAAATAAGGTGGTGAGAACTGGGAAGTGGGTGAAAGAAAAGCTAACGACAGTGTTCTTAAGTAACTTGACAAGAAATAGGAAAGAGATGGGGGAGGGGCGCAACAGAGAAAATTCCAAGGAAAGCCACCTCCAACTGGCAGAGTTATCCTCTTGTCATTAGATCCACCAGCCAAGCTCTCAGCTCCTGCAGCTCTGTCTATATAGCTGGTGTTTCTGTTGTGAGTATGATCCTACTGTGTCTGCTGAGGTTTGTACCTTCCTGTGATAGTTAATCTTTTCTGTCAGCCTGACTGGATTTGGAATCACCATGGAAACAAAGTCTGGGATGCCTGTGAGAGATTTGCCAGACTAAGTTAATTGAACCGGAAATGGGCAGCACCATTCTATGGGTTAGGGTCCAAGACAGAACCTAAAAACGGAAAGGAAGCTGGGGCACAATGCTTTTTTCTGCTTCCTGACTGTGGACACAATGTGACAAATCATTATCTCCTCTGCCATGATGACCTCTATCTCCGAAAGCTGTAAGCCAAAAGAAATCCTTCCTTCCCTATATCTTGTAGAAGCAACAAGGCAAGTGACTAAGGCACTTCCCACTTAACAAATCTGAGGTTTGATACATTCCCACCCTCACTATATGCATACTTCACAGGATCTCTCCTTCTCTAGTAGGTTCAGATGCAAGGTGGACTCACTCCAAGCGTCTACTTCTGGAGCCCATTACTGAGTCCCAAGGGCCTCCTTTGTGTGGATTTCCTAGATGCTATAGAGCAGAACATGGCAGGTTCTACTTGTTCCCACTGCTGGGCCAAAGAGCAAGACACAAGTCAAAAGATTCAGTGGTTTTTGAATGCCACAAAAATCACTAAGCAGAGATACCAAAATGCACACAAGGCCTTCAACCTCGTCCTTGTTATTTTCCCTGCGCAATGACATTCTTCTCTTCTAAAACTGCAAAATACAACACTTCATAGAGAAGGAAGCAAGAACAATTTCAATACAAATCTGTACCTTACCAGATGACCATGTAATGCCGTGCTTTTGTTTTGTTTTAATGTTTGAGTAAAAACAAACAAAAAAAAAAATTGGAGATACCACTCCACTGGAACCTACCTATCTCTGTGAATCCTGGAGCTAGCGTAGAACAGCAACAGAGGCTGCTAGATATTACTAAATATTGGTACATGCATTTAGAATTTCTACCTCTGTGTTGAGCCTTCCTTAGTTACATCTACATTGTAAATACCCATTTAATGCTCTGTGATTAATACAACTATGGAGAGTAGACCAGAATGGCCGGAGCCTCCCTCATGGTTATCAACCTCAAGAACCATCAGCCAAGAAGCCCTCATCCCTGGCAACCAGATGGATGACTTCACAGCAGCCCAGCTTTTCTGGACATTTTACGAGTATTCTGAGGACACCTCCGCAGCTGCGGGGACCAATACACGCTGCTGCAGACCTGCTCCACTTGTGGGCAGTCCAGTCTGTACCAGCCTCGGAAAGCGGCACTGTCAGCAAAACCAGGCTGCTTGACAATGGCTGGCCCAGCAGCCACTTCACTCAAGCCAGAGCAGGACAGCAGGAGGCTGGATGAATACAAACGTCAGCTTTCACCTGCATGAAGGACAGTTTCATGAGCGGTGCAAACACCTTGCCACATGTGGCCTG